GACGACCTGGTCCAACCTCCAACTCATGCGCGGAAGAGTAAGGAAACTTGAGATGTAAGCTCGAGTTCTGACGAGTTATTCAGACCCTGGCAGAATTGAAGGCATCCTCACCGAAAACGATTTGGACAGACTCCAATAGCTCGCGTTGCTGCAACTTTTGTTTGTACCTTTTCTTTCGATATGTCCGTGGCTAAATCCAAGCTTTATAGGGGCTGGAGAAATCCATTCTATCAATGGTGTTTGGTACATGTGAGTATATAACATTGTAACGTCTTGATTCATGCTGAAACTGGACAGATACTACACAGGTGGACCGAAGGACGACGCCGGACAGAGAATCCACGTGATCAAGGCTTCTTCCACCGATCTTTGGGCGTCCACGTGGAGCTACGCCGGTACTTGTTTAGTTTCTCACGAAATCTTTGCTTTCCTAAACTTTTGATAGGCCGCCTTGCGTTCCCCAATAGAGATGTCTGGTCGATTGACCCGACTGTACTGAAGCTGAATGGTAACAATTATGTGATTTATTCGACTCAGGACAGTGGCGCACAATGCCTTTTCATCGCGTACGTTGAACGACTGTCTTCTCTCTCATTACTGACTCCATTCTATCGTAGCCAATTGACGAGCCCTACCACGGTTGGAAACGCGTACGTACTGAGCAGGCCAACTTTGTCGTGGGAGAAGGTCAGTATTCTTATTTATATGCGAAGCTATTGCTTAAACCGTCCTAGGTGGGTTGGAACGTTAATGAAGGGCCAGGTATGTGCATTTCTCTCTAGAGATAAATTATGTCTGATGAGAAACCTCCCTTAGTGGCATTATATCGAAACAATCGTACTTGGGTCGCCTTTTCTGCATCCTTATGCTCTGGAACCGGTTATAAGCTGGGACTCCTCGAGTACATTGGCGGAGATCCACTGAATAGTAGCTCCTGGAACAAGTACTCTCAACCTGTTCTGCAAAGTGCAAACGGGTAAGTGTTGTTTCGAATCCACGTATTTGCGTACTTACCCTTTTAATTACAGAAATTACCAACCTGTACGTGAATAATGTCATAAAGTCCAAGCTAACTTCAAGTCCATAGGGTCACAATGGCTTTTTCCTCTCTCCCAGTGGGCAACAGTGGATCGTAAGTATCATCTAATCATCCTAGACCTTTCACTGACCACTTCTTGATCAGGTTTATCATGCAAATTCTGTCACTCCTGGACAGTGCGACGGATCCAGGTAAGAACTGCATAATTGTACGTCTCCATTGCGACTAATCCCTCCTTCAGGTATACGATGGCTCAACCTGTAGAGTGGAACAGTGATGGTAAGAATTTCCTATGGGCAGTGAATTTTTCTCACCAAATATCTACAGGTACTCCTCGCTTCCAACCTCCTGCTCCTCTGAGCAGCAATATTCCCGAACCTGTCTAGCTTGCTATAGGTCATTCTCAATTAGAATCTTAATTTATCTTTTCTTCTTTTTAAACTACTTGAGGGCTGCCTATATGCACTGTAACGACAACGTATGGTGAATGGAAGATCGGTTGCACGGTTTACATCGACAACTTCTTAGTAATGAAAACCAGCCAAATACCGAGTCGACATTTACGCTTTAGTTAAACTCAAGGTGGCTTTCCGAAAGAGGATAGTCGAGCTTTTAGCCTATATCATCATTGAGCTAGTCTCTGCACGAGCTTTCTTGATGCAATTATATTAGTATCCGAGTAGTTTCCAACGTTGTTTCATCGTTGGAGCAACGTTTTCTTGACCTTGATGACATACCGGAGAATAAAGCAGCTATGGATCGCTGGTTTCGGGAGGAGGTGGCTATTCACCGTCGGCCCGGTCGCCTCTCCCCAATCACTCACTTGCTGTTCCTTTGATGGAAGTTCAGCACACGATCCCCTTATACTCGGATCAGGGGGACTGAATTGTAACAACATATGCCTATGACTAAGTTGCCCGCACTATAGCGAGTAGTCAGCTCTTGCTCGTCGAGAATCAATATGGAGAGTGGACATGATATACGTATGGGAAGCTGATCTATACAAATGAGCTAGGCTTTATCTTGCAATCCTACTTGACATGGGTATTTCTCCTATAGGAATAGTGCACGTGAACGGTGCTAAACCCTTATCCGTGAAGGAGGATGCCAGGTTGTTCCAGGAAGTCCTTACTCGGTCTTGCGGACCGGCTGATCGGGGATTCTAATCGGTAACCAATTATACTGAACTAAATTTGTTACTCATACACCTGTGAGCCTAGACACCTCTCGCTGAATATAGCCCGTCGGCGGCCTCTAGACTACTCCCGCATATTAGATCGACACACTACTTTCAAAAGAGTATTCCATCAACATTTGACACCTTAAAAAACCTCAGTGGTCTAGTTGTGGCGTCCGTAGTGTCGTAATTCCCTCTATCTGCTCTAATACCGGTTGCGTCGGGGCAAAACTCGCTCTTTTTTCGTATATCACTTTATAATACAGACGGAAACAAACCTAAGGAATGGAGTCTCTCCCTCGTGAAAATGACTGCGACCCCGGGATTGGCTACAAAACGTCCGATCGTAAATGAGCCGGCCCTTGGAAAGTGACTTGTCCACGATCCAATTTCATACGCAGCCTCTAAGTCTTCTGATATTATAATTATAAGGAACCTAATGCCCATAACATCCTCGTTTTGGAAATTTTGGCCTTGTTACCATCAGCCGTTGCCACCCCCCATCATTTGGACCTTGAATAGGGCCACCCGGATATACAATGGAGGTCAAATGCACATTATTAGTACCGCGTGGATATAGTCAGAATTTAGGTGTTTTTTCCCAGGACATTGGAAGGTCGAAAAGCCGAGTATCTGCTCGGATCTGGCGACTTTGAGAGAAAATAGAGGCCAAATCATGTTTTGTTTACTGTTCAT